AATCCTGAGAGGAGAATGGGGGAGAAGGGATTATGACATGACCATTCCCCCTTCGGGAGGAGGGGTGACTTCTCCCTCTCCCTCTCCTTTATTTCTCAATTTCTCTCTGGTGAACTCACACAACCTAGAGCAAAAACAAAAGCACACTCATTTCTCAATTTCTCTCTGGTGAACTCACACAGCCTCCAGCAAAAACAAAAGCACACTGTTTTATGGGCCAGCCCACAGGCAGTTATCTCTAGCGCAATGGAGTTCAGAAGTGAGGGAAGTGCATGGTGCAAGGATGGGTCCTGCTGGTGTGCGGTTGTGGCAAGAGAGTCTTATTTTGCAGCAGGAGTACCTCCATTTTCTTGGTTAGCAGCTCCCCTAGTGAGTATCCACTTACCAAATGCAACCAGATTATAGAAATGGTAGTTACCACTCAGGAAGCATCCATTTTGCACCAGATCTGTAAGAGGTGCTTTCACACGTGCTGTCAAAATTAATTCTCACCACAATCAGAGAAGTGGGCATATTAGTTATTTCCTCTCTTACCAATGAAACTTAAAAAAAATTCTTAACTTGACAAAAGTCATACTTCCAGTTAAGTACTATTAATATAAAGTTGAAACCAGGCAGGTCTACTGAACTCTAAGCATCTTTTCTCTAGAGCAGTATCTTCCAAACTCAAATGCACATGCTACTGCAAGTTCACAAAGACTATTGATGAACTATCTGGCACAGAAAGTTTTAAGAAACTTATATTCAAATTCATTTTCTAAAATGAACTAGATGAAGAAGGCTCCTAAAGTTTCTCTTTTACCACCTAGCTTTTCACAATGTCCCTTCCCTAACTTTCAGGGGAAAAAAAACTCATCTTTCTTATTCTTAGTGTAATTTCAGCATAATCTCTTCCTAGTAAAGGTAAAAACTTTGAGGGTATCAAAAAGTGAGGAATTCAAAATATTGGCATTAATGATGCTAAAGTGAAAGACTTTTATGAGTCGGTAATAAATTCCTTCCAAGTTCATAATTTATAAAATTACTCTCAAAGAATTTTTGTTGAGTTGCCAGGAATTAATCAGATTATGAAAACTAATTTTTATTCTGGATCCTGTCATTTTCAGCACATATAATGCAAAAGAGGTTCAAATACTTAAGTTAAATTCCTACAAGGTTTTTTCATTTTTATCTAGTTATTTATGAGAAAAAAGTCTCTCAGTAGTTAATTTTTTAAAATTTAGAATTGAATTTATACTAAACTCCATCCTTTTACATAAGAATATTATTTACACATAAAAATCTGAATTGATTTTTTAATATTTTTAATCTTAACATAGAAGTTTTCAATAAAATTTTACTTTTTACCTTCAATAATTACTATGTAATTATTAATATTTAACATATTTACATATTTTTTGTCAGTTGTATGATGCTAAAAATTTTAGTGATAGCTTGATCTAGAAGATTAGACTAATGGGCATGTAAATTTTTTAAAAACAAATGTTGGGAGGGGACCAGCAGTTAGCCTAATGGCTATATTGCTGGACTCCCACATAGTCAACCGTGGTTCGAGTCCCAGACCCTGTGGCTTAAATTCACGCCGGGCGCGTGTGCGTACATGCCCAAGATCCCGAGAGGAGAATGGAGGAGAAGGGATTGCAGTGTGGCCATCGCCCTGGGGGGTGATTTTTTGCTTTCTGTCTCTCTCTGTCTGTCTGGCGACCACACGTGCCCTATAACGAAACCCTCTCCAAAGAAAGAAAAAAAATTAAATGTTAGGGCAAGCAGATAACATAGTGGTTTAAGTGCTGGAGTCCTACATGACTGACCATTGTTCGATTCCTGGACGTGGTGTCTTGAAACTCAGGTCAGGTATGTGTGCATGCCCCAAAATTCCAGGAGTAGAATGAAGGAGACAGGATTGCATCATGTCCATGCCCTCTGAGGGGTGTTTTCTCATCTTCCCTCTCTGAGTGTCTGAGTGTGTGTATCTCTCTATCTCTCCAGTAAGTGCATGGGTCCTATGGCAAAAATCTAAAAAAAAAAAAAAAAAAAAAAGGAAAAAGTTGAAAAAAAAAAAAAAAAAAAAAAGAAAAAGAAAGAAAGAAAGAAAAGGAAAGAAAGAAAGAAATGTTAACTTAAATATCTATTAGGTCATCAGGAACGTCATGATGTATTTTTCTATGCTAAAATGAATCTTGACTTTCCCAATGACCCAATATTTCATTACATAAAATAGGCTAATTTCATTTAAAAAAATTTATTGACAAATAATTGTATATTTTTATGGCATACAAGTTAATTATTTATATATATTAGAACGACTAAGTCAAGCTAATAAACACAACTATTTCTTCACATCCTAATTCTTTGTGGGTGAAAAAATTTTAAATCCACTTTCTTAGCAATTTTCAAGTATACTACACATTTTTATTAACTGTGATTGCCCTGTTGGACAATAGATCACCTACATTTATTCCTCCTGTCTCACCAAAGTTTTGTATCCTTAGACCAACATTTTCCCAGTCCTCACCGATAGTTAAAGGTATTTCAAACATAACATGCCTAACATTTAGGTATAATGCTGTGGGGGAAAAAAAAAAAACAAGAACAAGTATAGAAAGGAAATTCCAAAAATTTAGACTATAAAAGGGTTTGTTTACATTTGGGGGGATATCCATGCACATGCACCTGGTGTGTCTTTCAAGCCACCAAGTTCAGGACTCAAACTGTGCCATCAGCCATATAGGATGCAATGCCTTAACCACCATGCCACCTGCTGGCCCATGTGTAAGTATTTTTAATTTGAATGATGGTAACTATCAAATGGTTAAAGTGGATGCAATTTTCAAAGTGATGTTACATTTTCATTTTAAAAGTTATACTAGTTGCAATATTTCTGAATTATATCCCCTAAAACCATGTGCAATTATGATTAAAGCAATGAAGAACCTACTTAAAAATATGCGAGTGTACATAAATATGTTTTTAAAACTTTTGTTTGACACTACTCACAAAAGCTTGAAAATCACTGCTATACTGAACACTGTCATTGGTGATACATGATTTACTGCTACATGAGAAAAGCAATAAAACATGCATTGAAGAGCTGAAGCTTTGGGACCAGCAGATGGTATAATGGTTATGTTACTTGACTTCGGCATGGCTGACTGCAGTTTGAGTCCCAGACCTAGTGGCTTGAAACTCATGCTGGGCTCGTGTATGTGTGTGTGTGTGTGTGTGTGTGTGCAAAATCCTGAGAGAAGAGTGGAGTAGAAGGGATTGGGTGTGGGCATCCCCCAGGGGCAGAGATTTCTCACTTTATCTATTTGTCTCTCTGGTGAGCACATGTGCTTTATAGCAAAAATTTCTCTAAAAATAAAGAAAATAATCTAATCATGTAGATAACAAATTTTTAGGATTAATCTGAATATTATATGAAATTAATCATGTCAAGCCTTTAAGAAAAAAGCCTACAGGGGACCAGCAGTTAGCGTAATAGCTATGTCGCTAAACTCCCACATAGCCGACCATGGTTTGAGTCCCGGACCTGGTGGCTTAAACTCACGCCAGGCGTGTGTGCGTGCCTGCTGCCCAAGATCCCAAGAGGAGAATGGAGGAGAAGGGATTGCGGCGTGGCCAACCCCCTGGGGGTTGATTTCTCATTTTCTATCTCTCTGTCTCTGTCTTTCTGGCAAGCGCACACACCGTATAGCAAACCCCCCCCAAAAAATGTTATTTTCTGTAGGCTTTGTGTGTGTGTGTATAAGCACACACAAATACACACACCTACACACACACACACATTATATGTACACACGCACATATGTTTTTTAAACCAGAGTCCTGATTAAAATGAAAATTTTATAAAATCAAACATATTATGACCTGTTATCTCCAGGACTGTTGAAGATGAATTGCAATGTGGAAGGACACAAATTTTATGTTTTCTCTGTAACTAGAAGCCGTCATTAAGAATTTTCTCCTGAACTGGAAAGCGAAGGGACATGTAACAGACTAGAAAGATTTAAGTGCTCTTGCTGACTGAAGTGACAATGACTGTGCTGATCACTATAAAATACTCTCACAAACTTTCCGTATCTATGGGAAGCAGAATTGGAAGAAACGACAGGAAACTACAAATAGGCTCAGCCTATTTCATCTGGTTAATCTATTCTTTGTACCCAAATTAAGACCATTTCATTCCAAAAAATGTAGCCACTACTCACTATTTATTGACTATAAAAATCCAAATACAGGATTAATTTATTATTGATTGATTTTTAAATAATTATTTATTATCATTATTTTAATTTGCTATAGGACACATGTAAGAGAAAAAGAGAGAAGGAAAAGGGAAAGCAAGCCTCCAGGTCCAGGACTCAAACCATGGTCAGCCATGTTGGAGTCCAGTGCCTTAACCACCACATCATCTGCTGACCCATATTATTTTTAATTTTCCCAGAGGGCATGTGCATTTGCCAGAGAGAGAGAGAGAAAGTGAACAAGCATCGCCCACAAGTAATTGTCACACTGCAATCTTTTCTCCTTTATTTCTCCCTCTACTGGGGACTCTGGGCTCACATACACGTTGCCTGGTGTGTGTGTGTGTGTGTGTGTGTGTGTGTGTGTATTTCCAAGCAGCCAGATCAGAGACTTGAACCATTCAGTCAGTTGTCCAGCTGTCTCAACCATCACACCACAGGCTAGACTTATTTTATTGAGAGATTTTTTTCTATAAGGCATGTGCACTCACCAGAGAGACAGAAAGCAAGAAATCACCCCCCTGTCCCCCCAGGGAGGATGGCAAGTCCACCATCCCCTCTCCTTCATTCTTTCAGAATTCAGGACACTCTTGCACATGTTCCCAGCATGAGTTTCAAGCCACCACACTCTGCTGGTCCCTGATTTTATTATTTTGAATCAGGCTTTAAATTATAGTTGTAAACCAAATGAAAATCACTTCAATTTTCAATCATTAGGAGAAACTAAATTTTCTGTTCTCTTTTTACCAACAGGATTTGCCAGTCCACGTACTGGGATAGCAGATGCCTCCCAAAGCAGCATGCACAATGCCTTGCACATCTTTATGAATGGAACTATGTCCCAGGTGCAGGGATCTGCCAACGATCCTGTTTTTCTTCTTCACCATGCTTTTGTTGACAGGTTGGTTGACATTTCTTTATAAATTAGAAATTTATCATAGTCAGTGGTCTCAGTCTGGGTTCTCCAAGCAATAGACTCTAACCTAAAGATTTGGATGCAAACGTTTTGTACAAGATATAGTTTATTGTCCATTCCTAGGTGTGGTGGTCAAGGTAGCTTAATCCTATGTAACCCACCCACACTGTTTGAGTCCTGGACCCAGCTATTTGAAAAATGTGCTGGGTGTTTGAATGTGTTTTCAAAATCCTGAAAGGAGGGAGAAATGGAGGAGAAGAAATTGTAATATGATTATCTTTTTTTTTGGGGGGGGCGGGGGTTTGCTTTCTCTCTTACCCTCCCTCTGTCCCTTTCCAGTAAGTGCATGCACCCGCAAGTAAAATTTTTAAAAATTATAAAGATATATTTTATTAAAAAGAAACCAGTAAGAAGATGAGAAAACAATTTAAGATAGGAGAAAAAGTTAAATAAGGGTATAATTTAAGCTGAATTCTAAGACTCAGTCAGAATCAGCTTTTGACAAGTATATTTATTATATCTTAATAAAAATGAGAGGAACTCCTAGCCATCAGCTACAAGTTCCCCTAAGTTATGGAATGTAAAACCTCAGATCTAGTCTGCTTCCAGCCAGGCTCTGGGGCCAGTGCTCCAGGTCAAGGACATGTGGTTAAGAGTAAGGCTTATAGAGGGAGATGGACACACAACTGGCACAAGGGGTCTAAAGATTTCCGTGAAGGACACTAGATGTCTCATGTCTATATACATATGTATACACACACACACACACACACACACACATATTGTTTTCCCTCTCTGCCAATTTTACTGTATTTTCCAAACTTTAGATCATCACATGTAAGTACAACCTTTGATCCTTTCCATTGGTTTCAGCATTATATGATTAACTTCACTGTCTAACCATCATACTTCATATGATTTTATTCTCTTGAAGTTTTGATTCCCGTTATTAATCCATTTATATATATA